CTCCCCTTCCACCTGGTGGGACACAGCTCAAAGGTGCTATCTATGAACCAGCAAATGGGCCATCACTAGATACCAAATCCATTGGTGTCTTGGTCTTGAAATTTTCAGCCTGCAGAACTGTGAGAAACGAATTTCTGTTGTCTATAAGCCACTCAGTTTATGCCATTTTGATAGGGAAGACCAAACTGACTAAGACGGCAGAGGAGACTAACCAAGAAGGATACAAGAGAAGTCAGGGGTAGAAAGAACAGGAATCAAGGAAGCCTAGGCTCATCACCAGAGTCAAAGCAGGAACTAAGTCAGAAGAATGAGGGTTGCAGAAGGGTGGATGGAATTGGCGGTCAGGAGGTGACTAGCTTGTTTTAGGGGAGCAGTTTCAAGAGGAAAGCAGGGCAAAGGCCAGGGATGCAGGGCTGGGCAGATGGGGGAGGGGATGGAGAGGCAGAGAAGACCCTCTTCTGAGTTCCTCCATGAAGAGAAGCAAATTAATCTGTGGGCTCTGTGGACTAGGAAAGAAGGTGTTTAAAGATGGTGCAGAATGGACCAAGGGCAACTGAGAAAATTGCTTTTACTTAGATTATTTTAAAGAATAATCTGGGCTACCAACAGGGGAATGGAAGAAATAATGACAATGTAGTCATAAGATGGAAGCTTCATGGCAATTTTAAAAATACATTTGTGTGTGTGTGTGTGTATATATATATATATATATATATAATATGCATGCATGAATTACACAATTTTGAGCAAAAAAATATATAATATATACTTTCATTTATGTCAACTTCAAGTGCAGGCAAAATAATACATGGTGCAGGAGATTAGAACAGTGGCAACCTGGGTGTGGGGCAAGTGTGGATTAGGAAGAAATGCCAGAAATGTTCTATAACAATTTCAATAACGCATATGTATATAGACATTCATTAAGCTGTACATGTGTGTGCATAACCATAGATTTTGAATCTTGATTTTCAAAGTCTTTTAAAGAATGAACAAGAGATATATACATGTATTATCTATTGCTGAGTAACTTACCCCAACACTTAGCAATTTAAAAACAAGAAGCTGGGCATGGTGGTGCATGCCTGTAGTCCCAGCTACTTGGGAGACTGAGGCAGGAGTATCATTTGAGCCCAGGAGTTCAAGACTTCAGTGAGCCATGATCATGCCACTACACTCCAGCCTGGGTGACAAAGTGAGACTTTGCCTCAAACAAACAAACAAGCATGTATTAGTTCACAGGTTCTGCAGGGTAGGAATTTTGGAGAAGCTTAACTGAGTGGTTCTGGCTCAGTGTCTTTTCATGAGGTAGCAATCAAGATGACAGGGCTGCCGTCATCTGAAGACTCAACGGGGGCTGGAAGTTTCATTTCCAAGATGGCTTACTCACATGGCTGTTGGTAGGAGGCCTCAGTACCTTCCCATGTGACCTTCTCTATAGGATGGCTTGGGTGTCTTTCCAACAGGGCAGCTGGCTACATCCAGAATGAGTGTCCAAGAGAGAGCAAGGTGGAAGCCACCATGTCTTTCCTGACTTAGTCTCAGAAGTAACATATATCACTTTTTCCATGTTCTATTTGTTAGAAGCAAGTCACTCCGTCTAGCCCACATTCAAAGGGAAAGGAATTAGATTCCTCTTGAAGGGAAGAGAATTGAGGCAGTAAAAAAGAATTTGTGGGCCTATTTTAAAGCCACTACAGCACAGACCTGAATAGTGCAGGCTTTCCACATGTTTGAAGGTTTGGTAGTCAAGGGGCAAGGCCTGGAAAGTCCCCTGTGGTGGGTAGAATAATGTTCCCCAAGGATGTCCACATTTTAATTCTCCAAACCTGTGAATATGTTATGTTACCTGACAAAAGGGAATTCAGGTTGCTAATTGGCTAACCTTAAAATGAAAAGGTAATTCTGGATTATACAGGTGGGCTCAGTATAATCACAAGTATCCTTAAAAGTGGAGCAGGAGGCAAAGCATCAGTGTCAGAGTAAAGAGGCATGAGGAAGACTCAACGGTTCATGGCTGGCCTTGAAGGTGGGGTGGTGCCATGAGTCAAGGAAAGCAAGCCGCCTCTGGAGACTGGAAAAAAGGCAAAGAAGCAGCTTCTCCCCTGGAGCCTCCAGAAGGAAGGTAGCCCTGCTGATACCTTGATTTTAGCCCAATTAAGAGTCATCTTGGGCCCATTTCTTGTTATCTATTTTTTTTTTTTTTTTTGAGTTGGAGTCTCACTCTGTCGCCCAGATGTAGTGCAGTGGCCACTCCTGGCCACTGCAGCCTTGACCTGCTGGGTTCCGGAGATCCTTCCGCCTCAGCCTTCCAAGCAGCTGGAATTACAGGCATGCGCTACCATGCCCGGGTGATTTTTTGATTTATTGTAGAGATGAGGTCTCGCTGCCCAGGTGGGTCTCGAACCCGCGGGCTCAGGCAATTCACTCACCTTAGCTTCCCAAAGGCGTGGGATTACAGGCTGAGCCACCAAGCCTGGCTTCTTGTTATCTTAAACCATAACCTTTATCTGTTATAGCAGCAGGTAGGGAGTTCATACAGGGCTACATTCACCCTTCTCCTTTTTCCCATTCTGACCCATCTCCGCTTCCATCACATGCTTATGATTACTGTACTTATCTATATATGGTCCATGCTTTAATTATGCATGTTTGCCATCCCTCCTTTAAAACTGCCAACCTCCTTAAAAACAAGGCCTATGTTGTATTTTGGATTTTGTTTTTAAAATGTTTATCTGGGCCAGGCATGGTAGCTCATGCTTGTAATCTCAGCACTTTGGGAGGTTGGGGTAGGAAGATTGCTTGAGGCGAGGAGTTTGAGACCAGCCTGGGTAGCACAGTAAGAACCCCATCTCTGCAAAAAAATTTTTAAAATAGCCAAGTGTGGTGATACACACCTGTAGTTCTAGCTACTCAGGAGGCTGAGAGGAGAGGATCGCTTGAGCCCAGGCATTGGAGGTCACAGTAAGCTATGATCATGCCACAGCACTCCAGTCTGGATAACAGAGCAAAATTTTTAAATGTTTCTAAAATTAAAAAAGTTTATTTGAAGACCAAATACACTGGTCATTATTATACATCCACCAAGAACTTGAGCAACTATTTATTAGACTGTTTAAAAGTAGAAGCAGTCAACTTAGTAAAGAGATGAAACAAGAAAGAACTGATGTGGAAATAAAATATGAAATCTCATTAATTCCTCCTCCTTCAGACTAACTTACACCCACAGTGGGACAGTTTGTTGAAATGCCATCTTTTCTGCATCTTGCTTGACTCTTTTTTTCTTTTTCTTTTTTTCTTTTTTTTGAGTTGGAGTCTTACTCTGTCACCCAGACTGGAGTGCAGTGGCCACTCCCGGCTACTGCAGCCTCGACCTGCTGGGTTCTGGCGATCCTTCCGCCTCAGCCTTCCAAGTAGCTGGAACTACAGGCGCACGCTACCACGCCCAGCTGATTTTTGATTTATTGTAGAGATGAGGTCTCGCCAAGTTGCCCAGCCGGGTCTCGAACCCGAGGGCTCAGGCAATCCACTCACCTCAGCCTCCCAAAGGCACAGGATTACAGGCTGAGCCACCGAGTCCAGCTT